ATGAGTACCCACAAAAGTCGGCGGATTGTTCCTCTGAAACTTTCCCAAAGCACGAAACTCATCTGGAGGTCCACCATTCTGAGTCATCACTTGGGCAAGTGATTCCAGCGCATCAGTAATAGCACGATCATTCCTTCCTGCCATCTACAACTACCAACAAGGTTAGAAGGAAATAACTCATCGATAGCGTTCTCACACTATCGACTGACAGGGGATTAACAACATAAACACTTGGCCGGATGGAACGACCTGCTCTGATACCACTAATGTAACACCCTTTTTCTACCCCAAAAATATCAAGGCAAAATAACACAGAAATCAGAGTGAATAAATAAATCTCATTAAAAAGCCACTAAAAGGGCGTACATTTCTCAAAGTCATCAAAATAGGTCCATACTCCGTAACTACGGGTCTTTCCCAAAGTACATCAAAACATCATAAACAGCGGAACTCAAAGCATAAATCAAAGTTTTCCTCAAAAAGGGAAATTAAATAAAAATAATTTCAACAGTATAAAATCAACTCAAGGAACCCAACCTGATGTTACATATCAGAGTAAGACCCTTTAGGCTGACCAAAAGACTAAAACACTCAAAAACTTCAAAACTAACTCCTCGTCGGCGTCCACGGATAAACTGGATCATCTGCACGTTACCCACGTGGAGGTAACATTCAAACAGGCAGGGTGAGTAAAACAATTCATAATAATCAATGTATAACAATTAATGCATAAATGGCATCATAATTATATTCAACACATTCATATTCCTCAAATATGCCTCAAAGGCCACAACGTCATAATTTATACAAAAAGACTCATAAATGCAATGCAACAAGACTCAATGCATGTGGTACCAATCATCACAGCGCGATGGACACTGGGCCATCAACCCTCCATAGATCCCCATAAATAGGATCGATTCTACTAGAGAACCAGAGCACATCAAAATACTTCACATCCACACAGTGGGATCGAAGCCAAAGTAATCGAGGTCCTGAACCGAAGTCCGGATGCACATGAATGCATGATGCATACGTCACAATAATAATCCTCACAATACAGCATATGGTGCATCATCATTCATCATATTCATCCTCATCACATAAATCATCATATATCATGTTATCACATAGTTCATCAAATCATGATAATTTCATTCATATTAACTCAATCGATACATCATAGGAAACCATCATAACATCATGTACGCATCACCCAAAACCCACTGTCATACTCGGGGTAATCCATCCCAGAAATCCCAGAATTAAACATCAAGGTATCGCTGCAAAATGATCAAATTTCGCAAACTCTGCTACGTTCACTGGCTTGCTCACTAGGCGAGTCTGTAGCGAGTCTTCGCTGGGCGAATCTGTGGCGAGTCTTCGCTGGTGTGCTCGCTAGGCGAATAGAGCGATGACAGCAAAAACCTGTCACGACCAGAACTGATTCTTGTCCAAATACTCATACGATTCACTCACCCAATGCCCCCAAAACATCCCTAAATCATCCCTAAGGTCATACGGCGAGAACGACGCCAAATCTATGGTTTATTAGGCCAATCTGGCAACATTTGCACTGCCTAAATCACTATTTTCCTGCAATTGCTCTGAGTGCATCATAGTTACTCACATTTGAACATTCTTATTCCTACAGGGTCAAACATATAACGATTCAAGGTTTTGGCCACGAAGGCTAAGGTTTCCCTTCTCATATCAATATTCAGTGTTACATACCATTACCCCTAACCTCAAAGTCTTATCATCAAATTCCCTATTTTCCCACAACCAACCCAAAATACCTTAAATCATAAACTAACCATAAACGCATCTAAAGGCATACATAGAAAATCATGAACAGCGATACTCCCCATACCTTAGTCGATTCGCAGCTTTCACGATTAACTTCGGGATCTTCTGCCTCCAACCTTTCCTTCAGAGCTCTGGCCACCAAACTTTCACGGTTAACACAAAATGAATTCAAATTGCCCTTCAGAACTCAATTTTGTCCAACCTAGTCTTGGACCTCACAAATTGGGTTTTTCCCTCATTACCCTTACTAACTCCCTCAAATGCCCAAATTGCCCTTATTTCACTTATATTCCATTTAATTAATATTATATGCTCTTAATCAAATAAATACCCGAAAATGCACATTTTTCTAATGTTCACAAAACCACCAGAAATTCACCGAAACATGAATATTCTCAATTAAATAATTAATTAACATATTCCGATTAAATTTGGGGTGTTACAGCATCCATAGTAGGAAACTCCACTTTAAATTGAGTTTTCTCCGTTATAGTTTCTCCCAGGTTTCTCCCTTGGTTTTCTCTATTCTTCTTCTGAAGAAGTTCTCTACCAGCCAAGTAAGTTGTTTTAACCTCGGCTTTTCCCCCAAAAAATCAATAACAACGCAGCGGTAACACGCATTTTTATCCCTTGATTTCTGCAAAATTTACCGTACTCCTCTGAAACTTTCTCAAGGCATTCATAACGCCTTAAACTCAAATCTCATAGCTCTTCCTTGTCATGAAATCCTCCACTAGTTAACGATGAAAGAATAATAACATTTGAACCTTCTAAAATATATAGACCACATATTTTAGACCCTTTATCAATAATTAGTTCATCACGTGAAATCTTCAACAATCCACGTTCAACTCTAGTACAATAGCCTAGATCATCAAACATACTTATAGGTAATAAATTTTGCTTGAGTTCTGGAACATACCTCACATGGTGAATAAGAAGTTCATGATCATTAAACATTTTAAATCTGACTGTACCAATACCATGAACCTTGCATGCCTTATTATTACCAAGGTGAACTACTCCACCTTGCACCATCTTCAAAGTTTCAAAGTATTCTATTCTTGGACATATGTGATAAGAGAAACCTGAGTCAATGACCTAACTATCTTCAGTTTCCAAACTCGATACTACTAGTGCTTCGGCATCCTCATAACTTTCCTTACCCAATGCAACTACAGCTTGAACAGAATCTTCATTGACCTTTCTTTCAGGACAATCCCTTTTAAAGTGACCAATTTTCTAACAATTAAAACATTTTACCTTTGACTTGTCAGACCTCTTTGATTTGGACATCCCTTTACGCTCACCTCCTCCTCTTGACACATTTAAGCCTTAACCACTATCTTCAATCTTCAAATCTTCCAACTTTGAAAATTCTTTGGATTTCACCGTCGTCCGGACTTCATCCAAAGTAATAGTATCTTCCTTACCATAAAGAAAGACATCCTTAAAGTGCTCAAAAGATTTGGGTAATGAACTCAACAGGAGCAAAGCTTTGTCTTCATCATGAATCTTCACTTCAATATTCTCAAGATCATCGATAATCTTGTGAAATTCTGTGAGCTGCTCAACTATGGATTTGTTCTCCACCATTCGGAATGAATAAAGTTGTTGGTTCATATACAACCTGTGAGCCAAAGACTTTGTCATATACAATGATTCAAGTTTTGCCCACATAGCAACCGCAGTTTACTCCTTGGCGATTTCTCTTAAAACTTTATCCCCGAGGCACAAAATAATGGAACTCCTGACCTTATCCACCATCTCGGTCTTCTGTACCTGTGTAAGCCCTGCAGGCATCAATATTTCACTCTTCAAAGCATTGATACACTTCTCTTGAATTAAAATTGCTTGCATCTTAATTTTCCACAACCTGAAGTCATTACCGGAAAAATTTTCGATCTGTCATCTACAAACCATGGTGCTCACTTGTCAACAATATCTCTTTGCTTCACGCTCACCGCACCACTTGTTGTGAATCTTGTTGTGAATTAGACAAAATTCAATATCAATTTGTGAGGCAAAGAACAATAGTAACCAAAATAAATGGTCTTCAGCAATAATAATTCGTACACAGATAATATAATAGAATAAGGTAAGAAAAAACCGAAGGTTTGCTTACCTAGTTCCACGAAACGATCTACTCTAGGGGAGAGAGCAACTCTCCAATTCACTATACTCAGAAAGTTGTTACAAGAGATTACAAATGAGTTACATGAAAATAGACTTTTCCTTCAGGTTTCCAAGAACAACCCTATTTCTTTGTGCATAGCTGAAACCCTATGCTATACCTTTAAACCTTTGGTCTCCCTTGTTGGTGAAAACTCTAAGATTGTCGCACACCAAACATATAAGAGATACATATTTATAATAGCAAATACCCAACAAACAAAACCCAAAATCACATGGATTCATGGACCGAATCGAAAAAGTCCAAAAACTCGAAAATACTATTCAGCGTACGGACAATACTAGTCACCGACCGATTATTTTTTCTTGACTTTTCGTCTGATTTTCGCAGTAAATTTATTAACGAAAATTTTAAGGCATATTTACAATAAGGGAATATACCACATTATATGAATATGCCTCATTCTCTTTATTAACTAAGACCGAAAAATATTATCCAAATGCTCCAATTATTCTCTATGAATAAATAAATGTTATTGATATATAGATTAAATTAATAACCAACATGTGGAATCAGCGTAACAACCCGAATAACTAACTACAACAACTTATCTTGAAAAAAGAAACTAACAACAAATTGGAAATCACTATTTCATTTTATTTGAGGTGAGTATTGTGTTTACTTACACATAGAGTGTGTTGTGTTACTTATTTAACAAGTGTTCATCTTCAAAAATAAAATATAGTGCCAAAAAACCATAAATCATATAGCAGTACACATCTTGCTCATAAAGTTGATTATTACAAAAGAAACCCCAAAATGAAAAACCATTACAAATATAAAGATGAATGGAATAACTATAACTATGCATTGCATCAACCCCTAATACAAATGCAAAGTTCTCAAGTTGTATGAAAAGATAGGAATATTAATAGGCGCATCTATAGTAACATTTTTCTTCCAAATTGGGACAAGAAGAAAACTAACAAGTACCATAAAACAAAAGACACAACCTTAACTAGATCATCACAATGCTGAAAATGATGTCTCTATTTCTTCATCTTCCATTTTGTTCAGCATGCCTTGATCTACACCCTACTTGTTCTAGAAACTTTGTAAGGCGCAAATGCTTTGCAGCCCATTGTTCAGCCAGTTTCTGCTCTTTGGCCTCCGCATCTCTTCTCAACCCTGCTAATTGTTCTCTATATTCTCCTTCGATTCTATCCAAGGCAACTGCCTGTTCCTCCCTTAAAGCTTTTATCTTCGCTTCGATTTCCTCCATCTTCTCCCTCCTTCGACTTGCTTTCTCCGACTCTAACTGCAGCTCCACTCGGCTTAACCTCCATGCCGCCTCTTTCTTATGTGCTGCCAATGCATGATGCCCTTCTTCCAACTCCTTACAGCATTCTACTAATTCGGACATCACCATGTTTTCGCCGTAGGATAGAACAGCCGCGTGAGGAGCTATGTTTCCGAGAACAAGAGGTGCATTGTCCGGTCCTCGTACAGGCTGCATCCACGGAGGAGGTGCTGCAACTGTCGAGGGAGAGAGGCTTAATGTCACGGAAGGGGAATTCGGCCTAACAGGTGCTGTGTTGTTGGAATTTGAAAGCCATGAAGGAAGCAATCCCGGTGTGGCTGCTTGTGAGTCGGTATGAAGATAAGAACTGTTGGAAGCAGCCATGACAAATGAAGGCGAAGGTCTCTCTTTCACTAGCTTCTCGGCGAAACTTTCGAGTATATGTTCGTACTTACTATCGTTGATTGGATCGACGTTTTTGTTTATCCCTTTTGTTTCTCTTTGTTGCTTCTCTTTGAATACTTCCCACCACTTACCTAATCTCTTAGCAGTGCGACCGGGGACTTGTGCCGCGATTTTCTTCCATTTGTTTCCGTGCGTCGCTTGAAGACTAATGACAAGGCGCTGCTCTTCCTCAGTTAAAGATCCTTTCTTAATACCCGGCTTGAGGTAGTTCTTCCACCGTTCCAAACATGATTTTGCGTCACGGTTAAGAGGTGTGTTCATGCGCTGAGACACAAGGTTCCATTCCCTAGGACCGTACTGTTTGACATAAGCGCGTAGTAAAGCATCCTCTTCCGCTCTCCACCGCTGCCTATCCTTCATTTCCAAGTGCATATCCCACAGCCGGTTTCTCGAAACTTGAAATCTTCATAATGTCTCTGGAAAATTCATGACAATTTCAATGCATCAATTCACTGTGAAACAAAGTAGTATCTATCAAGAGGGGGAGATGTGAATTCATTCAGGAACAAAAGAAAATGATTGATCTAATAAGAAAAGTTGAATAACTGCATCAATTTGTCATACAAAATAACACAAGAAACATATACTCCATATAAGTCGGAAATGTATGTTTCTGCATGCTACAATGAATTAAAAACTAGTTCAAGGCTGAATCTAGCAGAAACAAACAATGCACATACTTTCAAGTATCAATCAATAAAGCATTAAAGTTTCTCAGCTAGGGTACATTAGATGATATCTATTCTTTGCAAAACCAATATGTAAAGTCAATATGCCTAATTTCACGCCTGAAATACTTAGAATTAATACTTAGAATTGATTTTGTTGGTGTAGAATTGATTTTGACATGTTTAGTATCTCTCCAGAGTAGAATAAATTCTGCTTTCCAAAATTGACTCTACTTGAACATAGGATTGGTAGCTTTTGAATCAAAAGATGGTTTTTACACAGAAATTTACCTTCAACTCACTTTCAACTGGAATCAATTTTAAAGAATCTAATCAATTCACTCAGAATCAATTTTTTTACCGCAAAACCGAACACAATGAAAATCTTAGTCAAAATTTGTGGCCTTAATTTGTTAAAGAGGAGCCAGTAGCCCAGTATTGGAAACGTAGTAGTTATAATTAAATACTAATAATTTATTACAGGAAGGTTAGGATAACAAGCATCTGCATACAATGAGAATCTAAATTAAAACAGGAAATTTTGAAAATTTCATAAGCTAGTGTAAAATTCTAATCAAGAACAATGAACGAAAACCCTAGCAAAAGTTGAAAAAGACCAAAACAAAACTTCAGTAATAGTTTCACAGAGTTGTACAGAAAACATTTCAAGAAAACTAGTTCTTAAATTGAAATTTCAAAAACAAAACAAGAAAAGGGACTCTAAATTCATACACTTGAGCTTGAAACTGTAGAGATTTTAGCTACCAACTAAATTCACATGAACTAAATGAAAAAACATGCAAAAACACATGAACAACGCAAAACATGTTAAACAAAAAAAAAATGAACAAGTTGAACAGAAGAAGAACAAGAAACAACCCAGATAACAAAAACCTAAAAACAGAAGAAAAAATGAACCTTTAAGCAAATCAGACGCAGCCCAGATGGATTTTGTTGAAGGAAAAACCAGGATTGAAAAAAGAAAAGGAGGAGGAGAATGCTGGACAGTACCTCAGAGATATTTAACAAGTAGGTAAGAAATTCTGGTCCATGAAACAGAAGAGAGGAAGATGAAATGGGTTCTTAAAAAAAAGAGGAAGTGAAAACCGAGGTGCAGTGTAATGCAGGAGGAAGCAGCACCTTATCATGGTTTACTAGAGAGAGAAAGAGAGAGAGATGGACCAGAGAGAGAGAGAGAGAAAAGTGTGATAAGACAGGACGTGAAGAGAGAGACCCCACAAGAGAGAGATAATACAATGGAAGGGTACGTCAGATTCAGCGCTTAATGTGCGAGAAAGAGAGAAAGAAAAGGCACGCGAGTGATAAGGGACACACATGATCAGTTCACTCAATACTACAGGTAGGTAAATCAATGCTGTAACCCATACATTGTGTTTAACTATTTATTTACATACATGGATCATATATAAAGTAGACATTAATTTGTAAGATAAATAATAACTTTTTATTAGTTTAATGATTTTTTTTTTAAATTGTGAAAGATTAAGCGGATTTATGTCTATGTCTCTTCTTTTGGGTTGATGTCGGGGGAATTTTAATGGGTTGATGTTGGGAGAATTTTAATGAGATTAGGGTTCGAGGAGAAAAAAATATTGTGTGTTAACTTTTCTAGATGTATAAAGTTTGATAGTTGGATTATTGATTGTCACGTGATGGATTTGACTATAGTAAGTTATAATATCACTTGGAAAAGACCTAGGTGGGAGGGGAGAGAGTGTACTTTCAAAAAGTTTGATCGAGCCCTCTGCAATGTCGAGTGGAGACTCAAGTTTATGGAAGAGTTTGCTAGAGTTTTACCTTGATTCCAGTTGGATCATCATCCCATCATTGTTATGCCGAAAGTGGAACCTTCTAATTCTTCTGAGCGCTTTTCTAGATTTGAGACGGTTTGGCTTATGCATGAGAAATTTGGGCCTTGGATGCGTGGAGAGTGGATCTATGGGAGATTTTAATGTCTTTGTTAGAGGATATGGTTACTCTTATATTAAGGTTTGAAACAAGGACATTTTTGGAACATCTTCAAGCGTAAGAAAGAAATTATAGGTAGGCTGGATGATATACATAATATTGCTCATTATGGCTATAGTAGATATCTTGAGGCTTTATAGGGTGATCTGCAAGATCAATTAGCTCAAACTCTTTACTATGAAGAATGTTTTTGGCTTCAAATGTCAAGAGGTAAATGGATTACTGATGGTGATAGGAACACCAAGTATTACCATTCCAAGACCGTTGTGCATAGAAGTATGAATAAAATAATGAAGCTTAGCAATGAGAATAAAGATAAGGAATATGACACACACAAAATGAAAGAGATGGCGATGCGACATTTCACTTAGTTTTTTTAAGATGACCATGAGACCAGGGAGCCCATAGTTTCTTTTTTCTCTTATCCTACTTACTTGAAGGAGCACCGGGTAAGCTTCCACAATGTCTCATCTACTCTAGAGATCAATAAGGCTCTTTTCAATATAGATTCTCATAAAGCTCTGAATGAAGATGGATTTCCAACTCTTTTTACCAGCATTGTTGGGGTATTATGGCGCCATCCTTACAACATTTTGTGAATAAGGTTCGAAGTGACCCCCTTTGATTAGTTCAATAAACAAGACTCTTGTTGTTCTTATTCCAAAGATCGAGCAACCTGAGTTTCTCACACAATCTTGTCATATGAATCTTTCAATGTGATATATAATATGGTTACTAAAATTACGGGGAATCATGTTAAACCCCTTTTAAATAATATCATTTTGTCAAATTAGTCTACCTTTATTCCGGGGAGAAATATCCATCATAATATTATAAAACCTTATACGATGAAGAGAATGAAAATCTAAAAGGTTTTTATGTCGATAAAGATTGATATAGAGAAAAGTTATGACATATTAACTAGAAGTTTGTTACCCAGTGTCTTCAGGACTTTAAGTTTCCCAAAGAATTAATTAATTTAATGTATCATTGTATTTCCTCTTTGTCATTCAAAATTGTGTGGAATGAGGACAAACTTGATATCTTTGATTCTTTTAAAGGTATTCGTCAAGGTGGTCTCTTCTCTCCTTATTATTTTGTTACACGTATGGATCATTTGTCACATATGATTGCTGACTAAGTTGATGCAGGATATTGGAAGCCTATGTGTACTGGACGCAATGGGTCTCAGGCTTCTCGCCTCCTTTTTTCATATGACCTCCTTCTTTTTGTAAAGGCAATTATAGATCAAGCTTATTGCATTAAGCATTGTTTGGACCAATTCTATCAAAACTTAGGCCAAAAGATTAATTATGAGAATGCTCAAATTTATTTCCCAACAAATATAGATTCCCAACTTCAGTAGAAGATTATGCATCACACGACGTTTATAGAAGCCTAGAGCTTGGGCAAGTATCTTGGGTCAAATAGTACCTTTGGTATAAGCTACAATAATAGATTTCAAAATAATACTGAGCAAGTGGAACATTGATGGAAGCATCAGTACTTGATCCTAGCAAGAAAAATTACGTTTTGTCAACCAGTGCTAAGTTTTATCCCTTATTTCCATAAGTAGTAAGCTAAAATCCCCATCATTATTTCTCATGATTGAGATTCCCAACATCAGCAGAAGATTATGTAGCACACAATGTTTATAGAAGCCCAGAGCTTGGGCAAGTATAACATTGCCCTTGGTATAAGCTACAATAATAGATTTCAGAATATTACTGAGCAAGTGCAACATTGATGGAAGCATCGGTACTTGATCCTGGCAAGAAGAATTACGTTCTGACAATCAATGCTAAGTTTTATTATTTCCATAAGTAGTAAGCTAAAATCCCCATCATTATTTATCATGATTTAGAAAAGTTACAAAGAAGGTTTATTTAGGGAGACACAAAGACGACATGTAAGAATTATCTGATCAGTTGGGAGGTGCATAAGGGTCAAGGTGGCTTAGGCATCAAACAAACTCAGTTAGTAAATGATGCTTTTATGTTTGAAATTCTTTGGAATTTATTGACTAATCCTAATGATTTATGGTGTCAGGTGTTTATCAATAAGTATGGCATGAAGATAAGTTTTCAGAGAATATGATCAACAAGCCAAATGATTCTCCTATATGAAGAGCTTTGAAAAAGGTGTGGGACAAGTTTAAGAAGAATATCATATGGAATCTTAGGGATGGAATAATGGTTAACTAAGCAACATATTTTCTTCATGTTGGATCAGCTGGTATGATCATCGATACCATCCTCACAGTTAAAGACATTATTATTGTATAAGAGACATGGATTTTATAGTTTCTTTAGAAAGTTGACTGCTGAGATGGTCAGTTATATCATGGTTATCCCCCATAATTTTCTTGAAGATGGTATGGATAATGTTTGTCCTTTTTGGATTGGTTTCATTATGCAAAACAACATGAAGTTTGCTCATGTTGGTTCTGGTGTAGAAGGGACACATGTTGAACAAGATATCCTAACATGTGGATTGTTAATCTAGTCTCTTGGGAACAGACAGAAGGAAATTACAGTTGGTTATGATTTCGTATATCCAATATTCTCTCCACAATATAAGATCTGCAAGTCAAAGAGAATAGTTAATTTTGGATGTACTGGTGCAACATAATGAACTCGATGTTCTAGCATGTGTTGTACAACATCTGGCCTTGACAACAAGTCATATTGGATGTTACTTGTTGCGTATTTTCAT